CCCCGCACCCCACTCAGCCCCGCCCTGGCCCCGCGCCCAGGGTGACCCCGGGCTCACCAGGGGTGGGTGTAGCCCCGGGGGCCCCTCGAGGTGGGCCCAAAACTGCATTTTTGCAGTTTGGCCCAGGGGGTGCAGGCTGCCGCTGCGCACCCCCCTGTATTTTTATTTTTATTTTTTGATTTTGTTTTGAATTTTTTTTTAATTTTGTTTTGGGGGCGGTCCGGAGCCGGGGTCTGGGGTGCCCAACCCCGGACCCCCGGACCCCCGCCGGGGCCCCGGGGTCGGGGCTCGACAACCCTGGCCCAGACCAATTTCAAATACATAAATAATTAATTGGTGGCTAATTCGGAGTAGATACATTTGGTTCCAACAGGTAAGTGCAGATTCCTACAAATAACACTACTCTACTTTGACTAGTCCGCAAACAGAAGCACAATGAACAATGAACAATTCTAAACTATGCTGTCTGTCAGATGTCAATGGCTGTACATCTAACTAATCAAAATAAAAATAATGTCATTTGTGGGGTCTGTTCACAACATGGCATCTTGTTCAAACTTATCACCTGGAATCTACCCTTTCCCCCAATCCCACTTGTTTGTCACTTAACGTCAGTGTCCTTGAGCGATCCGGTAGTGTGCGTGACTAAAGGTGTGCACACGGCCCACCCCTCTGCCCCGAGTAGCTGCTCAGCTGGCCAGCCGTGCACCTTGTTTATCCTCGCGTGCAGCGAGCCTTACACCATTGGCTGATCAAGAGGCAATTTAACGTCCGCCCCCAAGTGACATCAGGAATTATTTTACGTCGCATCAGGACGACGATCACAGCCAATGTTTTCCCCTGCCGGTGTTTATTTATAGACGCCTGGTACTCGTCTGTCCCATAGGGCTGGCCTGCCCTTCAGTACCCCTTCTATGAGCGCAGCAAGCAGACACGGACAAAGCAGCAAAGCATGCGTGCTCTACTCCTGGTGGGTTGGCATGGTGACTGTGACCCAGTGCTCCATCCAGGGCCCTTCAGAAAACACCGCCCTCTCCTTCCAGATGCTCCACGGGAAGAATGCCGTCTCTCAAGGTTGAGCGCACACGACACCTCACATGAGAGGACTCTCAAGATGGAACTCACGACCTCACGGTAAGAAGTGATGAAGAGGGTAGATAAGGTTAAGAGCAACGTACCTCAATATAGCTGCCCCCAACCACAAATACTCTCACCAGATGACCTGATGGCAATTGCGATGACCAGTCACTGCATCGGCACAACCAGCATTATCTCGCCGTTCCACCTCAGCATTAATCAACCACCAAATAGTTATCATCACACTGCGAACACCCAATATACACACCGTAGCCTTCCAGGGGATCCCCTCACCTCCTGGGTCGCCTAATCCTGTCTCCGTCGTCCTCACTACACACCACCTACAACCACACTCACCAAGCGGACCGCATGTATGTACCGCATAAGGTAGAAGACAAGCGCCAGATGAGCGCAACGTACCACAACTCCGATACCAAATTGCAAGGAAGATGAGCAATAGCGAACTTCAGCAATCAAACAGCATCATACATATGAGACCAGATAGTCGTGACCTCGAACCAACAGCAGAATTGCATCACGAGTTCCATCAAATAAGAACACACCAAGAGTTCATAATTGACAATGCTGAAATAGTCCCATCATCATCATCAACGAAGAACCAAAATTGATATCCTATCTTGCGCTCGGCGCCCAGACTACATATGGCAGATCCTATCTAGCCTAGCCTATACTACAATGCCGAAGTCGACGACAACAGCTCTCCCGAAGTACGAGCAGATAGCGGCCAATGTCGCACACTTCCAGCACCAGGTATGTCTCTCGCTTCCCTCACAACCTCGTTCCTCAACACACAGATGCCACTTGCACCCAAGGACCACCCTGCGCCACACCCAGCTTACAGCAGCGCAGCTCGGCTATGGCTGCCTGCTCCTTCCTGCTCGCTCGTGAGCGCGTGAGCGCTGGCCAGCAAATAGCGCGGCAGAGCTTGCGCAGCAAATAGCCAGCACCCGAATGCCCAATGCGGAGGCAGGCCCTTTGCTATATGGAAGTGGCCTGCCTGCTTGCTGTCCCAGGCGGTGCTGGGCCTTTCCCAAGAAGCTTTCGGTAGGCCCCGGCAGGCTGAGGCCTAGTCCACACAACTCAGGCCCTGGGCCTATAGTGGTTGCTCTCGCCCAACTGTCAACGACCTGTGCTAGGCCCACATCCCGTATCCAGCCCTGGGCCTGTCTTCGATACATTCAAACAGGCTGCCCAGGGTGTGGGTTCCTCCAACCGACTGGCGCTGCGCAACTGCCTGAATTTCCTGAGTTGCGTGGTGACCAAAATAGGCGCCCTCAGGCCCTCGTCGAGCCTGCCTTCACTTAGGGCGGGGCCGGCGTGCTGCATGGCAGGGCCTGAAAGGGGCTCATTGGGGCTTCAGCCTCGCACGAAAGAAAAGGTGCGAGGAATGAGCCCTCGCGGGGCCCTTATCAGACATGCACATGTTCTCCGGGTCTGGTTTTTCTTCTCTCTAACCCTTCGTGTTCCTCTTCTTCTTCTTCTTCTTCTTCTTCTTCTCCTTCTTCTTCTTCTTCTTCTTCTTCCAATTCCTTTTTTATCTCTTCCTCCTTCCTTTTCATCTCCTTCTCAATCTTCTCTTTCTCCTCGTCCATCTTCTTCCTCTCCTTCTCCAACTTTTGTTTTACTTCCTCCTCTCTCTTTCTTTTTTTCTCCTCCTCCTCTTTCTTCTTTTCAGCCAACCTCTTGTCAGTTTCTGCCTTTTCTTCAGCAGTATAAGGCTCTGTATTTCTACCGGACCACATGGTCACACCCAAACTACATGTCCGGTGAAAGCGGAGAGGAAATAGGAAGCGGAGGAGTGGACCCTATAACACGGACAGGGTCAAGAATGCAAACATTGGGTAGTAATCCATGGTGGTCAGAAGCACAGCTAAGCAACCTCCTCCTCCTCACAACATAGATCTAATACTCAACACTTAGCCAGACTTAGCCTAGATTGGAGTCTGATCTGCCTAAGTTCTCCCCCCCCCCCCACAGTCTCACTACAACTACCCTGTCAGGCTGGTGGGCGACCAGCAGCTAAGGTCAACCAACAAGGACCTCAGGAATTCTTTAACGACGCGGACAGGATGTCGTGCCCACTAGGATCTAAAGGTTCGCTCTCAAGACTTATAGCTCCTCACAGTGTCAGCTCGGGTCCGGTTTCGGATGAGTCATCCAACTGAGGAGCGTTTATCCTAGACACGTCCTTCTTTAGACACATGTGTCGGACCAGATGCTGACTCAAGACAAAAGCAGCTATGTCACCAAGTGTTTTGTCCAGCAGCAGCGACACCAAGATGTGGGAAGGTACACATTGTCCATAAAAGCAAATCCAGGGCTTATCGGGGCGATGCACTTCACTTGTGAACATTCCTTTGATGATGCTCCACAAATCGCTCCACGCATGCAGGTATGTACTCAACTTCCCCCACTCTGGCCACTTCTTCTTCAGCCTCCAACCCCACTGTCAAACTCCAAGTCTCATCTCGCCGGCCCTATAAAGCGATCATCAACAGCGGATGCAGTGAGTACCAGCTTCGATACCAATTGCATTGAACCACAGTGTTCGTCACCTTGAGCACACACACACAATGAGAGATCACACGAAATCCACACTGGAGACCAGAGATGCATATCCAGATAAGCGCAACTTAGAAATTCCAACAAATTATCATATTAAACAGTTTCTGAGTTCCAGTCACCAAGCGCCCATCAACGCAGAGTATAACAACCCATAGCCAGCATCCTCATCCAAGGTAGGTGACTTTCTCCTCCCTTTGTCTCACTCCTCTCTTTGTCCCTTCATGCATGTGTCTTCTCTCGGTCTCTCTCTCTCTCTCCCCCCCTCTCTCTCTCTAAATGAGGATCTTGACTCTGGATACATCCGGTACTACTCAGCCCTATCTCCTACTATTAGCTGTGCGGCTATGGGCACCTTCCTTCCTCATAGCAGTGCTGCCCAGCTACGGCTCCAGCGCTAGCTACTCGCAGATAAGCGCACAAGCGCCTCAGCAGCACTTCCACACTTCTTGCGAATGAGCAATCTGTTCGAGCTGAGGCTGGCCGATCTTTATATTGGCTTGGACTGAGCTTTGACTCGTCCCAGCCTCTGCTTTTCTTGGCTTGACTTCGGACCGGTACCAACTGCCCGCGGCCTGTTTGCTTCAGAATGTTGAGGCCCGGTACCTCCCTTGATTTCCTTGGTGTGCTGCTGCTTTTGGGTCTGTGGGAAGTGACCTTTGACTCTGGGTCATGACCCTTGCCTGTGGGATTCGACCTCTGAGTGTGAGACGCGACTTTTTGCTATTGAATGTGACTTTGGCCTCCTGGATGTGACTGTTGACCGGGTACCCATTTGTTGCATACTGTAACGTGCAGACCAGAACAAGAACCGACCTCTCAATACAAAGTACAAGATAACACAGCGGAAGACTTAGATACCAGTGATCCGAACAATCAATGTTGCAATGCAGCTCTGAACCTACATCATCATCATCGTCCGAGGGTGTGAAAGGGGTCTGGCGCTTCACACAGGAAGACTGCGCCAACCCCACACATACACAGACGAAGAAGAGGGGGGTTAGACGAAGAGGAGGGGAAGATGGGAATGTCGTCAACACCAAGTCTTCGGCACATGCCCAAATAGTCCCTCGTCAAAATGTCTGAATCTTAAATGTCGAGTCTGTATCCAATGTCGTCAAGTCTCAGGTCATATCTCTCTCTCGTAGTCCACAGATACTGAGAAGTAGGCAGCGGGAGGGGAAGAAGAGATGGACTTAGAAGAGGAAGAAGAAGAACTCTCTCTCTCTCTCAGTCCAGTACTAACCTGTGAAGGTGGCGCTGTGATGCAGGTACCTCGAAGATGGAGCTGGAGCGATGGCACCACAGGTAAGTACCGCTGGCCTCCGCCAGGCATCTCTCTTTGGTATCACTACTACTACTACTGCTATAGCGCCCAACGCTGAAGACTACAGCTATGGCGCCCAGCGGTGAGGACTACCACTAGCGCTAAGCTGCCCTGGGCAGCGCTCCTCCTGAGTGCTGCTCCGCTATCCTGAAGACTACTACCTGACTACTGTGCAACTACCTGCCCGTGAAGTGCATGGGAACTTCCTATGTACTACCGGGTGTGCCTCCTGACTCGTGCGAGCAATCCAGGAGGCTGCTCTTGCCAATGGCGAAGGAAGGMAGGGGCTGCAGCTGCAGCTCCTGCTCGAGCTGGCGTGGGGAACATGCCAGAAATAGCCTGTTCCGAAACCCAATTTTCGTGCCTGAGTCTTAGGGCAGGTCGAAACAAATGAGGGCCTGAAAATGGCCCTCCGTTTCAGGCTGAAAAGCCTCTGGGCCTAAAAGGCCCAGAAATAAGCTGAAAACGGGGTAGGGCCTACATGCCCTCGTATTTCAGCTTTCAGGCTGAAACGACCGGGGCCTGTAAGCCCTAAGTTTTAGGCTTTTAGGCTGAAAGTGCGAGACGGGCCCTGCAGGGCCCGTGGGGCTACGCAGTATGCCACACCCCCCCCTCCTTGAAAGACCGAGCTTACCTGCAAGGGCGAAGCTGTCTGTCGGAGGGAGGGACCACAGTCCGGGTGGGAGGGGCAGGTCGTGGGGGTCCCTTAGCTAACCTTTGTCGCTCGTAGTGAGCGTAGATCGGTGGTGCGGATGCTTTCAAATCTGCTCCTGAAATCCACCGAGTGTCGTCGGGATCGCATGCTCTGAATGTAACTTTGTACTGGCGCGGCTTGCTGCCGTACTTGCGATCCGTGATGACGCTGTCAACTTCCTGATGAACATCCATAGAAGGAGGGTCCTGCGATCGTCGGTCCGGGAAGTCGTCGCTCTTAGCTGGTGTATATGTTGCCAGCTTCGAGGCGTGAAAGACTGGATGGACCCTCAGACGCTCGGGAATGTTGATCACAAATGAAGGGCCATCGGGCTCATCGCCCGCGGCTGCTGTCACAGACCAAGGTCCAAACCACTTGGGAAGCAGTTTGCGTGAAACATCCTGTTCCAGTGCAAACTCTTCCGTGGAGACCCAAACCAGATCACCGGCGCGGATGGGACATGGTACGTGACGCCTGTTGGCTTGCTGCTGCATGCGGACTTGAGCCTTTTGCATGTTCGTGCGAGCTCGGCTGGTCGAGGGAGGAGAAGGTCGACGAAGATCCGGCCTTTCCGTCCACCGTGGTGCAACTCGAATGGAGTCACGCCGATCTCCGGATGCACCGAAGTGTTGTAGGCGAACTCGATGTCGGGGAGGCAGTCAACCCAATCTTTCTGGTCCGGACGGATGAGCGTACGAAGCATCATTCGAGCGGTTTGATGTGCCCGCTCCGTCTGCCCGTCTGTCTGTGGATGCCGAGCTGAACTTGGTTTCATCGTCGTGCGGGACTCCTGCATGAGCGCAGTCCAAAATGCTGACATGAAACGAGTGTCGCGGTCGCTGACTATGTCTTCCGGTACACCGTGGACGCAAATCCAACCGGTGTGTAGGAGGTGTGCCAACTCGGGAGCCGTGGAGTAGTACTTGCAAGGAAGAAAACGCGCATACTTACTCAATCGGTCCACCACCGTGAGGATGCCGTCGTGCCCGAGCCGGTCGCGGGGAAACGGACCGGTGACGTCCATGGCAATGGAGAGACCAGSTTCMCGTGGGATAGGCATCGGGCGTAACTCGCCGTAGGGATTGCGGTTGCGGGGCTTGCTGCGTCGGCAAACTTCGCAAGAGTCGCAATACTGAGTGACATCGATAATGAGATCAGGCCATCGGAATCGCTGTCGAAGCCGTGCAATAGTGCGGTTGACTCCGAAATGGCTGGCGAGTCGTGAATCATGATACTCGCCGAGGACGCGAGTCCGAAGACGGCGGTCGCGTGGGACACATAGTAAGTCCTTGCCTCTCGAGTGGACGAGCAAGTACCCGTCGGCAATGCGATAGTGGCTGGCCGGCGGGTGATCCGAAGATAGTTGTGCATACAGTGTGGCGAAGTCCGGATCAGACTCATATGCCCGGATGAAATGTCGCTGAAGCTCCTCGTCGAATGCGAAGGCATGATGTGTCATAGCGCAAAGATCAGGTCTTCGCGAGAGTGCATCTGCTGCGCGATTGGAGAGGCCGGGAAGGTGTTTCGGTGTGAAGTCGAATTGGTCGATGAAGTACATCCATCGTCCGATCGTGCTGCTCACCGTATCCTGCGTCTTGTAGTAGGTCAATGGATTGTTGTCCGTAACCCATGTGAACCTACGACGCCCAAGGAGGAAGTGCCGCCATCGCTTGAGAGCCATGACGAATGTGAGCAGCTCCTTCTTCCTTGCATCATCAAACGAGTTGATGGGAGGCACTTTGTGGCTGAAATACTCCACAGGGTGCCAGTCGTCGCTGTCGTGTTGTTTCAATGCCATAGCCGGAAGCCTCCGTAGTCACTCTCGTAGGCAGGACGGGGTCATAGATTCTAAGGACGGGTGCCATGAGCATGGCCGTCTTGAGTGCTTGGAATGACTGGCGTGCATCGTCATCGAATACGAATGGCACCTTTGGCGACTGTAACCTCGTCATAGGTGCAGCAATCCTGGAGTATCGGGTGATGAATCGCTGATAGTAGCCTGCCAACCCCATGAATGAACGAACGTCCGTGGTGTTGGTCGGCTCGGGCCTTACTCGTAGGGCCTTGATCTTGTCCGCAAGCGGACGGATGCCTTGCGGCGTCACATAGTGTCCCCAGTACTCCAGCTCCTGCTGTGCGAACTCGCACTTGTCGCGGTTGGCTTTGTACTTGGCTTGTCGTAGCCGCTCCAAAACTGTGCGCAGGTGTTCCACATGCTTCTTCAAACTCCGGCTGTACACCAGGATGTTGTCGAGGTAGATAAGTACGTATCGATCCAGCATGTGTCGGAACTCCGTTGTCATAGCCGCTTGGAAAGTGGCCGGGGCATTCGTAAGGCCAAATGGAATAACCATCCATTCGAAATGCCCATATCGCGTCTTAAACGCGGTCTTGTAACGGTCCTCCTGCCGGATCTCGAGTTGGTGATATCCCGACTTGAGATCGAGCTTGGAGAAGAACTTGGCGCCGCCCAGTCGCTCGAGAAGATCGTCGATGCGTGGGAGAGGGCCGGCGTTTCGGATGGTCTGCGCGTTGAGCTTGCGATAATCGATGCACGACCGCAAATCCTTGTTCTTCTTCCGGACGAAGAGAACAGGAGCACCGTATGGCGATGAGCTAGGCCGAATCCAACCTTTCTCCAGAAGGTCGTCGAGTTGTGCCCGAAGCACACTTAACTCTTCCTCGCTCATTCGGTAGATGCAACCGCGTGGAGGTACGACCCCGTCCTTGAGGATGATCTCGTGGCGGATGGGTCGATCCGGTACGACTCCGTGCGGGCCTTCGAACACGTCGCTGTAGGTGTCGAGAAGCTCAGTGATGCGTGGATCCGAAGATGAGTCCGTCGATGAAGCGTCATGGGGCGGGAGGGCGTGGAGAAAACACACCCCCATCTCCTCGATGTCGTCTCTGATGATGGAAGCTCGCATGCTTGAGGTGGATATCACGTGACAGCTGACTGAAGGGTGAGGAGGAGCTACCGTGCATGGGACTAGTACTCCGTTCCGATCACGAACATGAACGGTGCGGCGGTAGAAGTTCACTGGGTGGTCCTCGCTTCGCAGCCATGACATGCCCAAGATCATGTCGAATTTGGTGTCCAGAATGTCAAAAGACACCGCCTCACTTGCGCGAGGGGCAAAGTACACTGGGACGTCATCAATGCACCGGTCGACTGACTTGTGCGTGTGACCGTCCGCCAACGTGACTTGCGTGGGCTGGGACTTCCTTCGGACTCGTGGGCCAAGGCGGGCACGTACCATGAAGTCGTGACTCATGTAGTTGCGAGATGCTCCGCAATCGATCAAAGCGCTGCAGGTCGCCTCTACTCTGGCGTTCATCAACGGAGTCGGTACTGCAGTGTGCAAGTAATCCCGCAATTGTGCTTTGAGCACGTTGCAATGCGGTTTCGGCAATCGACTGGACCGGGGCAGGGGCATCCATTGGAAGTCCTCAAAAGTCAACGGGTCGAGCTCTTCAAGTCTTGACCATGACGTTGAATCCCCGGCAGTAGATGACGGCGAAGCTGCCGAATCGGTTGCCGATGGTGATGAAACCGTGCATGCGGTAGAGTGTTGCACGTGGAGCGGTTGGTCCAGCGGTGGAACCAAGTGGACAGCATAATCCTCGTAAGTGTACCGAGGACTTGCGACATTCGCATCCTCTCCAGATGTGTAGGAGGCTGCTAGCAAGGCGGCCGAATCTGGCGGAGTGGGGGGTGGAGTCGCCTCACCTCCCGCGAAACTCAGTTTCCCTAGTTGAGCCGAGGCCGCACATCCTCCTTGGCCTGATCCTGGCAAAGAGAGGTCTTGTGCTTGGTGCTGTTGCACCAGTAGCAGCAGCCGTAACGGCTGCGGTACTTGTACTCGGGCTCGGTCAAGCCGAACTTGACCCATGGTGGTGCTGGCTGTCCATTTCCGGCCGGCGATGCTGATTCGGCCTTCCCGTTCGCTCGGGGTTTGTTGTTGCTTCGCGGCTGGACAACAGCCACCTGATCTCCCTCACGTGGCGCTTGGGTGGCTGCCGGGTCTTCCACAGTATTGTCCGATTGGACTGCAGCGAACTGCCGCTGTCGCGGACCAGTTCTCACCTTCTCCACATAGGTTGGCTGCCACGTTGACTTCTCGTGTGCAGCTGAACTGTTGGTCTTGATGATCTCCCTTGCCTTATGGATGATCTCAGCGAAAGTGGTGTATTGCTCGCGATCACCAAGTGCCTGGCTCAGTGCAGCACATGACCTGTTGTAGAACTCACGGCGTAGATGCGTGAAGTCCAGACTGGGCACTACCGCGATCTTGTGCCATTCCGTGAGCCAGTCACGTGTTGCTGTGTTGCCCTGAGACATGGTGAATAGACGGTTGATGGCTAGTGCTGGTGCGTCGTCGACGATGAACCGCTTCTTCCACAGCCGTGTCCATTCTTCCCATGTGATCTTGTCCTTCAGATCTGCGACGTCGACGCCGTGGGTGGCTGCCAGGTGAGTTAACCAGATCTGGCATCTGTCCTTTGAGTTCATGAACAGGGCGCCGATGCACGCGTGCTTGGTGACAGGCAGAATCCGAAGTTGCATCGTGAATGCTTCCCACCAGAGCACCGGGTCCTGATGCGTGTAGTTGTCGAACTTGTCAAGTTAAAAAGTTGGCATCTTGTATTGCTTTGGATTGCCTTCCGTGATCATCGACTGCAGTTGCTGGACCTCGGTCTTCAATGCATCCAGCTGACTGCTGATGGTGGTCGGCGCAGCGAAGGTGCTGATGTCGCCGAGCATTGCCACTACGTGGTCAACGCGTTCCTCGAGTTGGCGGCTAGAGGGTGCACTGCTGGAGGCACCAGCATCTGGTCCCGGTACAGCCTGTTCCTGTTCCAGTACACGGGCATTGAGTGCCCGTGTCGCATCCTCGTGGCTCTGCACCATCCGGCGGAGGTTCGCCAATTCCTGGTGTTGTTGGTTCAGATCCTGGAACAGCTGTTGCAGTTCCTGGTTCTGTCTCTCCAACTCGGACCGTTGGTAGTTGCAAGCATACAACAACCGTGTCACGAGTTTGGAGAGGAACTCCTTATGCTGCTCTTCCGATGTTGCCTCGTCGCCGTTTGGTTCAAAGTGCCAGAACTTGAGTCTGTCGATGCTTGTGGCTTCATGCCGCTGCAGCAGATCCTGGGCTTCCTTGCGGCGAGCCTGGGCATCTGCGTCTGCTTTGGCCTGTAGCCGTAGGTTCTCTGCTGGTGCCGCTTCTTCAGCCTGTAGGCGGGCAGCCGCGGCTGCCAGCTGGCGTTGTTCCTCAGCCTTGATCAGCGCGATCTGGGCCTGGAACCGCCGTTTGTAGCCGGCCACAGACTCGTTGGCCAGTTGGCCTAGCATGCCCAGGGCTGCCCCTGTCATGCTGACGTGGCACTGCTGACGTGGCACTGCTTACGTGTCACTGTTGACGTGTCACTGCTGACGTGGCACTGTTGCGTACGTGGCACTGCTGACATGGCACTGTCTGACGTGTCACTGTGTTTGACGTGGCACTGTTGCGTACGTGGCACTGCTGACGTGGCACTGTCTGATGTGTCACCGTTGCTGACGTGTCACTGCTGACGTTTCACTGACGTGTCACTGCTGACGTGGCACTGTACCAACTGGGAAATGCATGCAAAGGGGTGGGTGGGAGGGAAAATGTAGGTAGGTAACCAACCCAACAATACTTTCCTCCGCCCCTAATCAACAGATAAAAAATTTAAAAAAATAAAAGAGGACTACTTTTTTTTTTGTTTTTTTTTTGTATATATGTCGATCTATTATGAGTAGGACATGTCAGAAGAGTACTATGAACGAGATTTAGGCTAGGTTCCGCAAAGTGCGAGGCTACACCCGCTTAGCCCCTACGGGGCCCTATCTACAACAAGGTCGGCCGCCCTAAGTGAAGGCAGGCATGACAGGCCCTTCGGGCCTCATTCTTCAGGGTACCCCGCAACGGGGAAATTCAGACAGTTGAGTTGCGCCAGTTAGTTGAATGAATCCAGGCCCTGGGSCGCCTGTGTAAATGAATGTGAAGCAGGCCCTGGGCTGGATACGGGTACCGGGCCAAACACAGGCCGAAAGCAGTTGGGCGCATGCAACCACTTCAGGCCCAAGGCCTGCTCTCTTCGTGACTGGGCCTGTGCCTACCGGGGCCTACCGGAAGCTTCTTGGACTGGACGCAGGYAGGCCACTTGGATRTAGGGAAGGGCYTGCCTCCTCATTCGGTATTCGGGTGCTGGCTRCATGCTGCGTGAGCGCTGCTGCGCAATGCGCTGGCTGGCTGGCACTCACGCTCTCACGGGCGAGTAGGAGGGAGCACGCAGCCATAGCCAAGCTGCGCTGCTGTATGCTAGGTGAAGCGCAGGGTGGTCCTTGGGATGSTAGTGGCATCTGTGCGGTGTGGATCGGGGTTGTGAGTGTTACGAGAGACATACCTGGTGCTGAAGCGTTCGACATTGGTCGCCATATGCTCGTACTTCGGGAACACTGTTGATGTCATCATTCTGCTTCGTAGTATAGGTTAGATAGGATCTGCCACCTGTAGTTTGGGCGCCGAGCGCCAATAGGATATCAATTTTGGTTCTTCGTTGATGATGATGATGGGACTATTTCAGCATTGTCAATT